AAAGAGATGCATCTCAGTTTACAATGTTGTAATTGCCAAAATTCCCAAACTTTCCTTGTTTGTTTGTTTTTGTTTGTTTGTTTTTTTAAAGAAAACCTATTTGAACATTGCTTGTGCTAGAACTTGGTTCCTCTTCCCATTGATGCAAACCAAAAAACCTTTGGCAGGGGCAGGGGAGGTTAGGGTGGGGAACAAGGAATGGGTTGGCATCAGAAGGCATGCTCCATGGGCAGAACTCAATACAAAACTTGGAAAGGAAGTGTGAGAAAGAAGGCTTTAAACCTGGCACACAGGAGTGAAAGCCAGAGTTCTCTGTGTAGAGTCTGGATAGGTGGGTGATCCTGGCCCACTAGCCACCTGAGTGGGCTGGGAGTGGGGGTGATTGTACAGCTGGAGGTATGGCCACAACAGGGGCTGTGGACTTCTAGTGCTCCCTCACAGGACCCATCTGCTCCCCCACTCCAAGTTCAAGTCTCCCTCTGTGGGAACTCTGACCCTTCAACCATCAGCCATGCCTGGACCCCATCTCATGTGTTGAGACGAAGAATGGAGCTAGGACCTTCCCATCCCCACTGTAATTACAATGCTCCCCTGAAATGGGGACCTGGACCAGGAGAGAGATTGCAGGTGAATGAGATCCCCAGGGGGCCCCCATGTTGCAGATGGATGAGTCTGGCGAAGGTGGCTTGTGAGCTGTGCTCTCCCACTGGTTCCATGCTCTCCTGCACCCAGCTGGAACTGTCTCAGAACTGCATGGGGGGCTTGCCTACAGAAGTCAACTGTCACAGCTTGTGGGGGATGGATCAGCCTGGGGAGGAGGATGGTGTCTGGGATACCCTTGGTTTGGGGCCACAGGCACACCAGTCCTATTCTCTTCACCTACCAACACCCAGCAGAGCATGTCCCACTAAAGCTCTATTTCCCTGAAACATGGGTCACCAGGTCCATCACCTCACTCTGTCTGGGTCTGCCTCCACCTTCAACTTCTCTTCTTCCCAATCAGAGTATGGTGGAGACCTTTCCCCCCTGTCTGGCACCCAGGGATCCCTCCCACAGGACCCCCATTACTTTCACCCCAAGTAAGACTTCCCGGAGTGGGGAGTGGCATGCCATCAGGTGCTGGTCAGCAGTCTCTCCCACCATCCATAGCCTGTGGGGGCTATAGGGTCTCTGCAGAAGGCAGCAGTGGTGCCAGTCTGAGGCAGTGTAAGTGGCCACAAAGCAATCTAGGACCCTGTCCACACACTCCCTCTCCTGGCACTGGGACTCTGCTTGCTCTACTAAGACACAGGTTCCCTCCTCAAAACTACAGGTGGCCATCTCAAGCCCCTGTTCCTGCACCTTGGCAGCTTGGGTGTAGGCATCCCTTGGCCTGAGGATGTCCTCCCTTCATATCTGGAGTCTCTCCTCATGCCACTCCCCCAGCTTCCAGTGCCAGGAGTCATCTGCGCATGCCCAGCACTCAGAGGTAATGACCAAGACTTGCAACATCACCTCCCTCTTTCTCTGACACTACCTACAGGTGTCCCTTGTGTACTCTGAAGCTGCATGACCCCTGTCCTTGAGCCATCATTCTGTCCTCTGTGCACTGTCCTCCCCCACACAGGTGGTGTCCCAGCAGTTTGACAGGGGAAAGATAGCATCCTTGGGGAAAGTATCAACTTTTGCTAAAAAAATGAAGTATACGGGCAGGCATTTAAGACCATCCCAACACTCAGCTGCGTATTGACAAAGAGATAGGAAGGTAGTTTTGATAAGCTCCCTGTCTTGTCCCTTTTTACCCTGGGTTTGGGAGCCCCCCCTCTGCTTTCTACCCTGAAAAACAGAGAACAGGTCCTGTGGGTGAGCACTAAGCCCTGCAGCAGTGCTGGGATGGGTTACTGGGGAGGGAGGGGCTGGGTCCCTCTTCAGGATCTATGGCAGGCACCTGCTCCACTTCCTCAGAGGATTTGGGGATGACTCCTGCCAACAGAGATCTTAAAACCCTTGCCATCCTTCCCTTAAAAGAGAGACGTTATGGCAACTGCTGTGCATGACCAGTACTTCGCTGCTAACTCTTCCCAGGTGAATGTTGGCTGGGCCTGGAGGGATAAGCTTGACCATTTTTCCTTGGGGAACACCAGCCAATACATCCTGTTCTTTATGCAGGACATGGTCTCCCAGAAGACATGGGGTTTGACACCGGGGAGGGGTTGGGGGGGAGTCATCTCCTTTCAAGGTGCAGAGGAGAAGCCCAGGTTGCCATTCACCATAAGAGTCTGGTTTGCATGCTACCTCTGGCTCTGCAATAATGAGCTGATACCCACACTGGGGGAGGGGGGAACTTGGCACCTTGACTGAGCTCTAGGGAGGGACAAAGGAGTTGGGATGGGAGGTGAGGGGGTGACTGGTCTGCTCAATGCTAAAGACTGTGTTAGCTGTGTTGAAGATCTATCAAGGAATCAGTAACCTGAGGCCCCATGCTTTGAGTGGTCAGTGTGAGGGCAATTGACTGACCCCCCCACAACCTACCATCCATGCACTTGGACCCCCCTTTCTGGGGTTCTCCACAGCAATGGGCTGGGAGAGACCTGTGACCATGGAATGGTTTGTAGGGGCCACTGGTCCACAAGGGGCAGGGGGAGGGGAGGAAAGGGGAGCAGGTTAGGTCCTGCACCTACTTTCTGGAGAAAAGCTTGCACAGATGGCTTTGGGTTGGCATGGCATCATCATGCTGCTATCTCCCTGCCCTGCTGGGTATGAACACGGCCTGCCCATTCCCTTTCCCCCACTTCCCTTTAGGGGCTTCATGTTTCTTCCAGTGCCTGGGTCCCCATCACAGTCACAGGGAGCAGGCTTGAGCAGTACCTGGCTTGGCAGCAAGGTGCAGTTGCTCGGTGCCAAAAACTTCACCAGAACTGTGGGGAGGGCTGGGTGCTGTCATGGCAGCCACTATTCTGGAACTTAGGGAACTAGGGAGTGCTCTGGGCATCTGGAAGTGGGAAAATGAATAGATGTTGGAGGACCAGAACACCTGTGGCAGTGATGTTGGAACAGTATTCCTAGTGCTAGGTGTTCAACCAAGTTAGCTGTATTGAACACTGGGGAGGGGACAGAGGGGGCAATACATACATGTATGCTTCCAGAAGATGGTGGGCACTGCATTTGGGGTCCAGGTCTTGGGTCATGACAACTGTGCTGTCAGAGCTTTCCCCCACGTCCTGTACATTGGGGTCTGTGGCCTTGACCATGGTCGATAAGATGCAGAGGGAGCTGAGGTATAGCTTCAGGTGCACCTCTGCTACTACATCCATCAAAATTCTGGGGACTAGCATCATTGAGCTGTCATAACCCCGCTGGTCCTGGGTCTCCTGCTCACCCCAAACGGAGAGAAGATCACTCATTTCCCCATGGCCCCAGCTGTGTCACCAGGGTTCGGGTAGTGGAAGAGGATGGTAAGAGGTCTTTGGTGGTCTGTGGTGATGCCCATGGGATCTCAGAATCTGCATGTGGGTGAGGGTCCAGCTCCAAGGAGTGGGGTGGGCAGGAGGGTAGATGAATGGATGAATGGTGGCTGTATGTAAGTGTGGGTCATGGCACATGGCTCTCACTCTAACTCCAGCTGGGTGTGGCCTCTGCTCCAGAATGATTGGGTCTCCATTGGCCAGGCCACCGCCATGATCTCAAACTTTCCAGGGGCTTACCGCAGATGTCCCCACAATGCTGGCAACATCCCATGCCTCAACCTGTAAATTTCCAGTGACCTCTACCTGCAACCCTGATACAGCTGACCACGCCCCACCTGGTCCTGAAATCTCCAGGGGTGTCCACCTGCCTGCCCTTCCTTGGATGCTGAAAGCTTTCCCTCTCCTAGGTCCTAGTATTCTGGCACCCTTTGGTGCAGGCCAAAAACGCTTGCAACACACCAAGTGCACATGACCCTGGTACCTTCTGCAACTGGCCAAGCTGTGGAGGTCATAGGGTTGCTTTCATGCCAGCCCAGTCCAGAGATTCTACTCCCTCACTGCAACCTGCAAGAGGTGAACTTGGATGTTGCGGGGGAGGGGAGGGGAGGGTGCAGCTCTATGCTGGGGTCTAGGCCTCGCCTAACCAAAAAGAAATAGTTAGAAAAATTCCTAAAAACCCACACAAAATAGGAAACGTAAAAACTAATATTGCATAATGCATACAACATAGCATGAATGTGCAAATACTTTCATTCCATTTTTCTCCTGGCTAATGTGAAATTTAGGAATTTAATTTAATTAATATACAACACTTCTTAAAATCCTTCATCATGGGTTTGACTATTCCCCACTACTCAGGCTCAGATAGTAGAAAATAAGAAATTTACCTTAAAACTGCAGGTGTAGATTCCTTTAGTTGGCATTAAATTTGTGTTGTCAGCTATATGTTACCTACTCTACTTCTTTCCATAGCAGGAGCTAGAACAAGGAAGAAGCATACCGAGGGTGTGGCTGAAGAAGCGTTACTTTAGCTGGCACAATGTTCTCCCTGGAACTGCTGCAGCTACTATAACCTATGCACTCTAAATTAAGTCAAATGCTTTTTTCTCTTTACTGACCACTGAATCTATGAAGTTGTTTGATGGCTTAGAAGAGATATAAATCTTTGCAGAAATATTTCACATTGGGGGGGGGGAAGAAACTATAACTCCCAGAGATGCCTCTTTGAGGTGGTGCTTAGATGCATAGAATGTAGAAGTGGTCCCAGAGGGGATTCAGAGTGCAGGTCAAGCAGTCAAAGGTACAAGGAAAATATAATACATCACATAGGGAGACAGTACAATGCATTGATAGCATAGAGTGCAGTATAGATGATGTGTAGTTTTACAAGTATATATACACACATAATTTGTGTCATTCTTTCAATTATTAATTCATAACTATGTTTGGTTGATATATTCAAAGCCATCTATATCTATATATATCACTATGTTTATTTAATTATACTGTATTTTATTAAATGAGCTCCTGTAATGATATTAGCCTTAGACTTACCCTGGCATTGGTCCATTTCCAGCAAGACTATAAACTTGACGAGGATTTAAAAGGTACTGAAATTTTCTGTAAATTCTGTAAAGATTAAAAAGATAGGAGGAAAAACATTTAGTCCGATGACTTTTTAAAAATCTGGATACAAGAGCAGCTAATACACTAAGTTGTACTTTAATCATTTCTGATAAAATCTCACAGTATTACAAAACAGTAGATAGAGCAGACATACTATTATACTTTAGAAAGCTCTGCAAGAGTTCACAATGCTTTTCAGGTGTAAAGTTAAGACAAGGGCTTGCAAACAAATATCTAGTATATAAATGCCACAATTACTTGACTCAAAAATGAGGTTTTTAACCCCATTCTGCCTCGGGTAAAAATTTCCTTGTCTGGGATTTCAGTACAAGGTGGAAGAGGGGGCAGACAGCTGCTGCAGCTCTGATACTGGCCCCTAACCTACGTAAGAGCCAGTCAGAGCCACAGCTGCCTGCCCTCTCCCACCTGTATCTGCAGCCTCTGCCCCTCCTCGTCCCTCCGCTATGTATTAAGTGGTTGTTTTATTTAGAAAAAATGTATGATGCTCTCCTTAAAAGATGACTGTGTGTGATGCTTTCCATAAAATTCTGGAAAGATTTTTCAGGCCAGTGTTTCAGCAACTAGTCAAAATGACATGCAGGAAAAAAGGGAGTTTAAGAGTTGTATATGATGCTTCCCCAGTATTTCACTGTTTCATCACACAAATGGTGTTAGGACAGGGAAGGATTATACAGAGTTTCAAGTGAGATGTCTTTTTCTAAGAACAATGGCATCTGGACTTTAAAAAAATTATACACAAGATCTAAATTTTCTGCATATTCATAGATACTTGGCAAAATTTGGGGTTACAGCCTGTAGAAACATACCATAACACTGAGGAAGAGGAGACTCCCAGCACACTGAGGAAGGGGAACCTGTGCACTTTACTGAGACACGTTTTATTTATACCTATGATTAACAAGTTGGATTGTTAACAGATAGTAGACCTACAGGCTTACAGGCAACCATTCAGTGGAGGCCCCCCATCCTGTTGTGAATCTTTCTTGAGATGTAACACTGTTGTTAGAACAGGTTTTGAAATCTGAGGTAAAGATTATAGCAGATGGAAACTAAGTTTCTTTTTGTGCAGGCTGTTCTCCCAGACCCAGTGGAAACGTCAATTTTCTCACTTGGCAAACTCAAACCTGAGATTTTGTAGTAGACAATGAAGCCCCTCACAAAATCAAGAGGAAAAAGTTCACTGAGAGTTTATTGCACCCAGAGCTGAGGGTAGGCAACTGCTGGAGACTGTTTTAGGATCTAGAAAAGCCACTATAGTGAATGCCTCTGAGCTTAAGAGTATGCTTTCTGAGATGTATTATCATATCAGAAAATGACCTTCTGTTTACCTGCACAAATACAGGCATTAGCTCAAAAATTCTTAAGGCTATTGAACTAAAGGAGAGAGATTTGCCCTCTCATATACAAGATTCCAGGCATAACTCACTGCTAACCACACTTGGGATTCAAAGAGTACTAGTCTGGATAGTCAACAGAAGAAAATATGCCCTATGATGAACTCTTATTTGAACTGAGATTTATCAAGGATGAATGTTCTGACGAGAGTAAGAGATAGCTTCATCAAGAGATGGAAGAGAAAGAAAGACCAAATAATAAAGCTAGGTTTAGCTGGTGAAGAAACTGAAGGTCATTTAATACTTGTAAGAAATTCTGAAAGAGATTGGAAAGAGAAATACTTCCAAACTGAGCAGCAGTTGGATAAATTACACACTGCTAGGTCAAAACGTGTTCCACCCACCTCAAAAAGACATTTAACTCCTCTGAAGCCTAAGGAAATTAGTAACCAAATGGTACCAGAATCAAAGGTCATGTATTTCAATTGTTTACAGCAAAGGCATGTCATAGGAGACTGAAAATTCTTCCAAACCCCAATTTTGTGCAAAAAACAACTGAGCAGCAGATACTAAAGATCAAATTAATTTAAATTTCAAAAACAAAAGATCTTCCCCAGGCAAAGCTACCAGCAAGGGGTCTGTGTGGAAAACAGAGGCAGTTTAAAATCTAGTAGGGCTTGGTTATCACAGCTAAGTTTAGACAGATATAGTGCAAAGTACATGTTTAACAGCATGCAAGTGAAAACGTGGTTTTCACTTACCATGCTCAAGTGAAACAGTACAGTGAACATTTATCTCTCTGGCTAGAAACAGACATTGTATTTATTTCTGGATAAACTGTGTCTATGTTTGTCCTGGAACTAAAATATCCCAGGATTGGCTTGTACCTATATTGTCCTCCTAATCAGGGGTTAGTGAACTGCTGGCAGCAGTGCTGTTTTTCTGCCACTGATCCAATGATGCAGTCCTAGCATAACTGTTTGAATGTACTTTGCAATGTCCCGGAATAAACTGTTAGTACCTCTTATTGATAAACTCTTTTAGGACTGATCCCAAGACAATGGACAAGGATGTCTGTACAATTGTACCATCTCCCAGAAAATGGTTTGCAACCCCTGAAATCCACAGCTCCTTTGTGGTACGCAATAAACTGAAAGGGATGAAGTATAAAGCATTCCTTACATAACTTTGCATTTCTCAAAGGCTATTTGTGGGACCAACTAGATCCTAGTTCTCATTTATCCAGTCTTACACATTAACACTAGCATTTAACTGAGCACTGTAAGCAAGAATGGAGTTCTCATTTGATTAAGATGATTTCATTACCAAATGAATAGGCAGAAGTCTAACTACTGAGTCAAAAACTGCAGTGAACCAACTTCAACAAGAGGATAGAAGTGAGATGACTGTGAAAGGAAGAGTCAATAACAGTTCCAGGTGGAAGCTCATATATTACCTGTAATCTGGTATCTTATATTCAAAGAGATCCAGGTATTGTAGTTGAACTTGGAGAAGTAGCAATCACTGCTTCAAAAATCTCATTTGAGAGATAGCTGAGGAAACTTAGAGAAAGCCCCAAGTGTTATGGCTAAAGAATGACTTAAACTTATGTGATTTCCATCTTGTGGCTGACACATGGGGTTTTGAACTGAGGGGGAAAAGCCTGAACTATTGCAGTTTGTGCCAAAGTTCTTCAGTTGCTATAATCTCAGAATCTCAGTAGATGGACAACAAAAAGAAGCACTTGTAAAAGTTATGCACTTCTATGGCATACACAGCCCTCTGAATTGTCATGACTTCTGATCATTTTCAGTTGTAGGAGCATGAATAGAGAGTACCTGAAGAGGCAGGCAGATACACATATTGGAATCAGCATGAAAAACATGTTGGAGTCTTGAACAGTACACAAAGTATGTCTACACAACATTTTGTGCGGTGTATTAATGGCTGAACTAGATCTGGACAATCTGGCTTGGGTATCAGAAGCAATATAGGTACATTAGTAAGGCACGTTGTCTAGAAAAGCAGGTATATTAGCCTACGTGGATTGCCTCAACAATATGGCTATACCATTTCTGGTACTCAAGCTACTTTAGAACTTACTCAGGTATCTCTGTACAGCACCACATTGTGCTACGTTGACATACTCAAGTGTATGACTTCATGAAGGTATTTAGAATTAGCAGAGTGGAGGGAGGCACTGGTATGTTCTAGTGGCCAGGAGTCTTTCAGAGATGTAGGCTGGAACAACCTGGCTTGGGTCTGAGGTGGGCTGGTGTTCTGAGCTGGCCACCAGCACCACCACTTGTTGCTGTTCCCCATCTGCAGTATGGGCATAGCTCCTCACCACTCAGCCCTGGTGTGGGCAAAGCCTCCTGTCACTGGAACACTTCTAGAGCACCACACCACCAACAATGCCCAGAGGGTGGTAGTGGATG